GTGTGATTATGTTTCGAAATGATGATTGATATTTGAGTGCATTTATAACTTTTGAGAGTATGAGAATATACATTTGAGGTTTGTATATGATATTTGAGAGAATTCAGAAGATTGCTCAGAAATATGTGAAATAGTGAAAATAAGAAAATGAATTTTGCACTGGAACAATTTTATTGCTTTTGTTTCTTACAATGTGTTTTGCATGAAATTTTATCTGAGTTAAGAGAACGAGAATACTTATTGAGTTAGTGAAGCTCATTAAATTTCACCCTGATATTTTTTAGAGGAGAATGAAGAGCCAGCACCACTGCCAGATGAGTAGAACCTGTAAAAAGGTTCTTGTTTTTGTATATTTTGTGCATATTCGAAAAGTTTTATTTTGTTCCATTAAATTCTAAATTTTGACCTCATGTTTTGTATATATAGTTACTGTACATATCATATGAAATGTTAGGTTGTATTATATTTTTTTTATCTATGCATGTATATATTTTTTGATCAAACAAATAGAACTTATAAAAGAGTTCTTGTTTTTGTATATTTTGTGCATATTCGAAAAATTTTATTTTATTCCGTTAGACTCTAAATTTCGATATCGTATTTTGTATATATAGTTACTGTACATATCACATGAGATGTTATGTTGTATTATATTTTTTTAATCTACGCATGAATATATTTTATGAGCTCACTGCATAAAGTGACATGAACATGAACTGCGCCTCCTATTGAGCATTGGGGTGTGACAAAATCAATGAGGATTTCGATACTTTTTTCGACCGAACTATAGGCAAGGAATTGGATTAGTCTCATTTAAGAGACCCTCATGTTTTATTAAATTTTATTTTATTTAAAATAAATTATGTACAGATTTTATAAATTATTTAAAATCTCTATTATGTTTATCATAAACTCATCATGTGTATGAATGTTATCTTGTGTGCGTGTTGAATGGATGAACATTATTAAATTGTATGTATGCCTGGTATATTTATATAAGTACTATATAGATAATTTAATGTTTATAGTATAAAATGAGAACATGTACGCACTTAAACTATGCATGTGCAAATTTGTGGAAAAAATAGATACGATGTGTGGTTTGTATACATGATTATATATACAATATTGTGTAGGCATTGATTATAAGTATTTATATTGTTTGATTAATATGTTGAATGTGTGCTTGATATACACATATGTATGTTGTTGCGTGTGCATGCATATATGTTATGAGTTGTATGAATGCATGTATGAACTATATGAAAATTCTATATGAAAACAGAGTATTTAAGTAAATGTATATAACATTATATATATGTGAGTTGGTAGGTAAATGTGATGATTATGTACGGTGAACTCTATTGTGGATATGACAAATATTTATTGCTCTCACCTAGGTTGAGGAATGAGGACGACTTATGTTTTATGGCATCAATATAGGTTGAGATATGGGGATGACTTATATTTATGAGCTTGTATGCAAATAGAGTATTTAAATAAATATATATGGCAATACCTATGTGTATGAGTTGGAAGGTAAATGTGATGATTATGTTTGGATGATTATGTGCAGTGAACCCTACCGTGGATATAATAAATATTTATGGCGCTAACCTAGATTGAGGGGTGAAGGAGACCAATGTTTATAATGCCCATATTGGTTGAGGTATGGAGACGACCGATATTTATGACACTCACCTTAGTTGAGGGGTAAGGACAATCGATGTTTTTGGTGCCTATATAGGGTGAGGTATGCGGACATCCGATATTTATGGTAAATCAATTCACACCTCTTCTAATGCAGACTACTTCATATTAAAAACACGTTCAAGGTCGAAAAAGAACTCTGAATAAATCTTTAGTGACTTTGGGAGTATTGTTTTGTAAAATATATTTAATTTTATATGATTGAATTTTAAATTTCAGAATATTATTGTTCAGATTTATCAGGTTATATGCATGGATTATCGCTCTTTTCTCTCCTGAAAAAACAAGTTCCTATAGTTTGATTGATTTATTATTGAGACTTTACTTGAAAATTATTGTGGTAGCTTGTAATTGCTGTAAGTATTAATTTTTTATAGTGGAGCTCTTAGACTAAGAGAGATTTCGTAATTTTTATCTTTCACATTAAAAAGGTTTTTTACGTTAAAATTTTTTATATCTTTGTGTGATTGTTTTTATTCATTTTGAAATAGATTTTATGTTATTTGTTTGCTAAATTTTACTTCATTGTCACTCTTCATAGATTCATTTAAGTAGGGAAGGATTTTTTTGGTATTGACTTTAGGACAATTAATCTTGGTTCCTTCTTATCAGTATATTTTCAACTGAAAATCAATCAAAGTCACAACTAATACATGTTTAAATTTGCTAATCCTTTCAATAACATCATTAGTCTAAATAATGTTAATCTGTCCGGGTAGTTTAGATTGCCGGGTATTGGCCGCTAAAGTCCCGTGCGCGGTTTCCTGCCGCACAGTGCTATGGGCAGCTCGTGCCCAAGAGTTCCATGTACACACGAACGCTTGCCGTGCAGTGCCATGTGCGCTTCTACATGCATTTGGAGGGTTCTAGCGGCACTTCAATCTACCAGGTCTCCTCTTGACTAATCTCTTGGGTTGCTTTGATCTGTTGAAACTCTTTTCTTGTGCTGTTATATTTCTATGGTCCTCAAATTGTTAATATATATACTACATGGCAGCAATAATATCATTCAGAACTTCTCTCACACAGTTTTCCCTGTTTTCAGTCTCTCAAATTTTTTAGCCAATAGTTAAGCACTTGCATAAGCAGCTGTGGCCAGCTGATATGAATGGTAAACCATTTTTGACCCACACAGAGTGATGATATTGTAACATGACGTTGCACGCTAAACAATCATAATTAAAGCAAACAGATTATAAAATTGCATGTTAGGTAAACGGGTACATATAATATATATATATATATATATATATATATATCAAAAGTAGTAATTGAAGGCCAATACGTTTATAGAGTAATGACAAAAACGTGCAAGTCGTTGTTCCACAAAAGGCATGGAAGAATTTCTGTCACAAGAAGAAACAGCCCATATGCTTTGAGAAACTTGTATTCCACCAACCTCAATAATTGACTTGTTATTTGTACTATCACTACAACTTATATATACACACATAATTACCCGCACACAAGCTTAAACCTACATAAAGATGCCTCAATTTGCAGACAAGGGCAGAAGACAAAGAATTGCACGAATTCCAAATTAACAACCACGAAGCACAAGAGATATTCCTGATCATTAACACGATTTTTTAGTAACAAATCACATCCCAGAAATGAATAGTCCACTAAATACAATCTTATACCAGTACTCACACACACACACACACACACACACACACAACATGATTGAGATTTAAAAATTACTAGTCATGCATAGTTGGAAGGTCATAAGGATCAATGCAAGACAGGCAGCATGTGACCCCTCTGCCTATAACTCAGCTGAGAAATGCAATCTCAGCAGCATCATTAGTTCACCCAAAAACATTCACTTATATATTGATATCAACCACTTGTCGTTTTCTTGTCCATTCTTTTTGTACCGTTTCCAGGAAACAGCAGGTGACTGTAAAACAAATCAACATTATAGACATATACATACATACATACATACATGTCCATGTGAAGTAATATAGTTTATATATTGCATGGTTGTCCAATAAATAAAAAAAAGCTAAAGAGTTAGATCAAACAATGATGTGCTCAAATCTACCAATAATATATCAACTATCAATAATCATCAACATATGATATAAAGAGGATACAGAGAATCTTCTTGGAATACTTTTATCGTATAATAGAAGAATAATATTGTTATACAAGGAGTACAGCTACATGTATATATTATATATGTCGGTGGGTGTGTGCAAACAATAGGAAACCCACCTTTAAATCATGCATTGCAAAAAGCCAACTCATGCACGGATCAATATGCTAGCTAATATAAAGCTTTGGTGATCAAAAGATCATATTTTGTTCTTTTAAAAGAAACAAAATTTCTGTCTAGACTTTTATAATAATTATCCTCCATCAGCAAATTCAAAGGGCAAGAATATACATCCAAAAACGAACCTCACTTTACCCAAAATGCAAAGAAAAAACCATATCAATTCAAAGTTTCTCATCATCACACAATATGATCAAATATTAACTCCAAACGTTAAATTCTAATAATGGAGGGCATATGTTCCTTCCAAGCCACCGTATACATAGTAGTAGCATGCCTGTGATGCTTATTCCTCATGACAACTTAAGAGTTGTATAAAAATTATTTCAACAATCAAACTTACTTTTTATGATTTAGTTGGATCTTCAATTAAGTGCAAGCGTGTTTGAATTCAAATTCAAAGAAAGAATAAAAGATACTTCAATAATACAGATGACTTACAAAAACTCCACAAGCATGATCATTCTTAATGAATTTCTTCTATAATTTTTTGACAAAGATTTAAAATAAACTATATAGATTTACTAGCTGCTTGTTCCAACTTATTTATCCTTTTGTAGCATTTTGTAATCACTTAATACAAATATAGCACTACATTTAGCAGATGATCACCTAATTTCTCGAGGATGTAACCTGGAAGCAAAGAGAACTTCTTCTCCTGATACTTTCCTTCTGCAAATCCAAATTATATATGTTTCTAATTTAATTGTCAATATCTGTCATATACTAATCATGTCTTGTACATATATATGGTTTATATTTACTAACTTATGTCTCCATTTATGTCTTTCAATGCTTGTATGACACATGCATGACCAATACATGGCGCACAAAACGCTTGCAATTAGAAATATACCATATTCTGAAAACTTAAAAGATATGTACATCAATCCATCAGACAGTACTGTAAATATACATCTAAAAAGGTAAACCTGCAATTAATAGTTAAAGGATCATTTATATAAGTACGAGTGATTTAGCATCAAAGGAAAAACCAAATTCACTGCTGAAATTAGATGTGAGATAAGGTTAAAAATACAGCGCCGGAGATGGGGGGTACCAGAGCTCCTAAAAATGTCCCTACTTCAGCTGGGTTAGTCTCTGTCGCAGCCCCGATAGATTGAAGCGTGCTGGATCGTCAACCTGTTTAACAAATAAAACACTGTAAATTAAGCAGATATAATGAAGATTTTCTGCTGTTACTGGGTAGTAAATAACTTTAATCAAACACAGAACCCTAAACACGCACACAAACGTATACATACCTCGGCTTGGATAGTGTGAAGAAACTTGTCATCAGCTCTGGCGGAAGTACAGCTACGAACACAAAGTCCTTCTTCAAGAATTACATGCAGTACTCTTGATAGCCTCAAGCTTTTTGCCCAAAAGCCGCTGCTAAACATAATCTCCACACCTACCAAGGACTGGTTAACTATCATGGAGCTTGAGGAATCACTATTGCTGTTTATGCTTCCGGCAGTACTGGAATCAAATTGCTTGAGCCTGTTCCTCTTGACGCTCAGTTCTTTGATATTCTTCTGAAGGTGTTTTATATAATTCACTGCCTCGTTCATGTGATCTGATATTGCGCGCTTTCCCTGAAACCCCCAGTAGATACTCGTTAAGCCAATGTAGTCATAGAAACACAAACACGGACAGAGAAATTTCTGCCCGAAATTAAGGAGGGAGAAGATTATGTGCCGAAGCAGAAAAGGTAAGATACAATTTATGTTATAAAACAAACTAAACCCAAAAACTGCAAGCAATGCAATGAGAAGGCAGAAGAAGAAGAAAGGGTATAGGGTTTTTGACCTTGATAAAATCAAGAGGCAGCAGAGAGCGAAGAGAGGCGTAAAGCGTAGCCATTTCTTGCCTTCTTTGACGCTCAATATCTCTATGGTGCATCTTCTTCTTATTATTACTCTCATGATTATCAGTACCAAACTCCTGAGGATGATGAAGATCATGACGCTCAGTTGTCTTAGTGCTGGCCATACCGCACACCTTTCGCCTCCGGCTTTTTCCCAAATTATTGTCAACTGCGATCATGTCACTCATGCCATCTGTCAAAGCGCAAGACAAGATCAGATCTTGTGGGATTTTGTGTTGGTGGTGAGGACTAGAAGAAATCCGGAAGCACAGCTCATTGCTTTGTTGTAAAGGGAACATTATGATGGATGACTGCAAGAAGACTGATATGTTTTCTTGTGCAGAGTTGGTTTAGGGTTTTTAATATGCCAACGAAGGTTCTTAAAGAAGGAAATTAAGATATAATATCAGATACGTTTGTTGTGGTATGTGATCTTATGAAATGGGCTACAAGATGCCAAGATTCCCTGGAAATAGTTTCTTGGGAAAAAAAATAAAGAGAGAAAACTTAGGAGGAGAAGAGAGACGGAGCAGTTGACGTCAGTGGGAATTTTTTATTAAGTATATTTATATTTAATTAAGCTTCTCAAGACACTACTGGTCACCGGGTGCTGAAATAACAACTGATGTTATATAAAAGCAGGAAAGCCACTTATTTGCGTTCATACTTAGTGGACCAACATTATCTAGTTAATTACCTTGTTAATTAATTAATACAATTATCAATCTAACTTTTATTTTAAAATTTGACATAAGAATAATATATTTTTGTTCTAGAAAATTGAGAGCAGCTGAAATAACAACAGTATTATTGACCAGTATTTTTTCTAATTTAAATTGCTGATATTAAAGAAATAAGTTTCAAATCAATACATGATCGAAATATCAAAGCCAGTTGAGACAGATCTTTAAGTTTTGACGCTAATTATTTGTTTTATTATTTACTTTTTAGAGTTACTCTAGCAATTAATTACAAAAAGTTTATTAGATATTGTAAAATTATAAATAAATTAAAAGGCATTACACGATTGTGGTTGCTATGTCTTTGTTCTTAATTATTAGACAAAAAATTTGAAAAGATTTACAAAAATTTTCAATTCATTTATATTTTTTAAAAAAATTAATTTAGTTATATCAACAAATTTTAATTCAATTGACATGAAGATAAAACTTTTTCTATCTTGACTATGCTATTCAATTTTTTATTAGTCACACTAGTTTATAAAATCATCTTGAATAGAATTTAACTTTAATTTAGAAATATATTTTTGGCTAAAAAAATTGTTTAATTTTCATGAGTATAATATATATGGATTTTAATTTGAATGTTTATTGTAATTTAGTTTTTATTAGTAACTCAAATGCATTAATTTGAATGAAATGCTAGTTAAATGTAAAAATAAATTTAATTTACGTACTAAATATGATGGTTAAATAAAATGAGCCTAATAAAGTTGTAATTAAACGACACCGTTACAGCATAGTGTAAGTTTTTGACATTTATTAATTCGCAACGTTACTTTTTTTTTTTTTTTTTTCTTTAATTGTAATTGGCACGTTAAACCTGATATTAATTGTGATTAAATTAACTATTGATTTATTGTGATTGATAAGACCTTCGGCCGGCCAAAGATGCCAATCGCACGTCCAAACAAGTTTTCTTTCTACAATTTAATAAATTAATATATCAATTGACGTTCACAATTTTATGGCATGCATGGTAAAATATATGTATATATATATATATATATATGTTTGTATCACACGTTTTTCTTTTGGAAGTTGGAAACTTTTTTTTTTAACACATTCAAATTTAGCAGTAGTTAGAGATGGATGAAAAACTAGTATTACTTTTTTTAAGGAAGAAAATATCAACACCAATCAATAAAATGCTTACATCTTAAGTCCTTTTGAAGCATGAAGGCCAAAAACACATGAAGCTTCCTAAGAACTCTAGAGAAATCAAGTAATTATAGTACAATCTAATAAGTTGGATTTGATGTTCTTATGTGACAGTTGTGGTAAAGCATAACAGTGGGATTTTAATGGCCTTAATTCTAAGATCATATTATAGTTAAAAGTACATATTATGACATATTACTAATCTCTTAATATTTTTCCATAATCTTGTATCTTTGGTAATCCTTACTAGTTTATTTTTTATGTATAATTTCTTGTTGTATACATATATGCAGCATATACAGTAAAGTTTCTATTCAATCAATTTTCTCTATTACAATTTTTATATAGTTTTCATGGTATCAAAACCGTGATAATATGGATTTCTTTGTTTTGTAATATATTTTGATTTGGCTTTTCAAACATTACAAGCAATCTATGGTAGCATGCCAACATTCATGGAGTTAATTTAGAAAATTATTATTTTGGCATACCAACATTCATGGAATCAATTTAAAAAATTATTATATTAACAAAATATTATCTTGTTTGTACCGTACTTGTTTCTTTTTTTTTTTTTTAATTCTACCTTTATGTAAATTTGCATTAAAACATATGATTTACTTCAATGAAACAATCTCTTTATGAAATATTAACATGGTATTAGAGCAATATAAATAATTTTAATGGCTAGTGAAACTTTGCCCTCTGTTCTACATTCCTCTGATAATCCTGGTCTTGCACTTATCTCTTATTTACTCAAAGAAGACAATTACTTGACATGACATCGAGCAATGAACAAATGCTTTGCTTGTAAATAATAAATATGGATTTGTAGATGATAGTCTTCCACAACCAGCATCAACTTATCCTAATTTTGTAGCATGGGTTAAAAACAATTCAATGGTGATTTCTTGATTTTTTAATTCTCTTTGTCCTTCTCTTCACAACAGTTTTGCATTCTTTAACACAACAAAAGATGTTTGGGTTGATCTAGAAGAACATTTTTCACAATGCAATGCTTCAGGAGTCTATCAATTGAAAATGGACATCATCAATACACAACAAAAAGATCAATTTATTGTTTTTTATTACACAAAACTGAAGGGACTTTGGGATGAACATGGATCATACTAGCAAATTCCTAACAGTACATGCGGTGCAACAAAATTCTTTGTTGGTGAGAAAGAAAAACAAAAAGTACATCAATTTCTAATGGGTTTGAATGATAAATATAGTGTTGTTCGTTCCCAGATTCTCAATACGGAGTCTCTACCTATGTTGGCTAAAGCATATGCTCTAGTCACACAAGAAGAATGTCAACAACAAATCACCACAACAAAAGGAACTACCACTGTTGAAGGAGCTATTTTTGTTTCTTTTAAACATTCTAACAAAACTTCTAGTTCTCGTCTTGTGACAGGTTCTCATGATACAAGCCAACTATTTTGGGATCATTGCAAAAAGCCAACACATAAAAAGGAATCATATTTTGAATTACATGGTTACCCAGATTGGTGGGATAAAAATAAGAAGAGTGTTAGACAAAATTCGGTGAATAGCACACAATTGAAAACTTCATCAACTGATAAGAGTACAATGTCACCAATTTCTAGTTTAACCATCGAGCAATATAATTATCTCATGTCCATCCTCAATCTTGAGCACAACCAAATAAAAAATAATGTGGCTAATTTTGTTAGTAAGACATTTTCTATATCTAATAAATTTATGGAATGGATTCTGGATTTGAGGGTTTCAGATCATATGACCTTTCAAAAAAAACTTTTCACATTTGAAATTTTTTTTAATTCTCGTATTCATATTCTTGATGGCACTCTTGTTTCTACCACTTCATCTGGAGATGTGAATCTCAACTCATTTATTCACTTAGATCATGTCCTTTATATCTCTATTTTTACTGTAACCTCATCTCTATTAGTAAATTAATAGCCTCTTTGAACTGTACTATTCATTTTTTTCCTACTTTATCTGTTTTACAAGACCTCATAATGAAGAGGCCGATAAGCATAAGTGAGCTTAAGGACGATCTTTATTGCTTCCGTAATCCTATTCCTGTTATGTCGACTGTTGTTACCAAGTCTGATAGCCTTTGTTTATGGCACCAGTGCCTAGGCCATTCATCTTTTCAAGCTTTATCTTTTCTTGATTAATTTAAGACTTTGAATGTTAATTCTTTTTCGCATATTTGTGATGTTTGTCATCGAGCTAAACAAGCTCGCAAACCTTTCTCTTTAAGTTCCATTAAACCTAAAGTAGTTTTTGATTTAATTCATTGTGATGTTTGGGGTCTTTATCGTATTACATCTTTATCTCATGTACAATATTTTCTTAGTATATTGATTTTACACGAACCACATGGGTTTATCTTTTGAAACACAAGTCTAAAGTTTTCACCATTTTAACATACTTTCTTACCATGATTCATAGATAATTTGGTCAATTAGTGAAAATTGTTCAAAGTGATAATGGTACTGAATTCACCAATATTTTTCTTTAACAACTTTACCTACAAGAGAGGAGTATTAATCAATTTTTGTGTGTTTCTACACCCCAACAAAATGGAGTAGTAAAACGCAAACACAGACATATTCTTTAAGTGGCTCGGGCTTTATGTTTTCAAGTTGGGTTACCTATTTGTTTTTTGGGTGAATGTGTTCTAACAGTTGCATATCTTATTAATTACACACTTACATCACTCTTATATGGTAAAAGCCCATATTAACTGTTATTTTCCAACAACCAGATTATTTTCATCTTCGTACGTTTGAGTGTTTATGTTATGCATCTGTCTTACCTAGATCACCTGATAAATTCGATAAATATGTTGTACCTTGTATTTTCTTAGGCTATCCTTATGGTTAAAAAGCGTATAAATGATATAATCTTAAAATTTAGTTACTCTTTGTATCCCATGATGTCACATTTTATGAATCAATTTTTTCCTTCAAAATCCAACCCCTTTCTCTATGGCCACAATTTGTTACACCCATTACACTACCTATTGGTGAAATTAATTCTTCATGACCGCACTTAATAGATTTAGCACCCACCTCCACTACACAACCTATTGTTCTAAGATCAACTTGTATAAGGAATTTACCCTCTCATTTTCAAGATTATCATGTTGATTTACTAGGTCGTAATAAAAGTTCTCCTAATGCTACAAACAACATTGCTTCCTCAAGTATTCCTTATCTTCTCTCTCACTTTGTTATTTATGATAAACTCTCCCCTTCACACCTTTATTTTCTTGCGGCCATCACATCCCATGATGAGCCTAAGACTTATAAACAGGTTGCTAGTCACCCAAAACGGCAAGATGCTATTAAATTTGAATTAGAAGCCTTGAAAATAATCAAACATGGACTCTTCAACAATTATCGCAAAAAAAAAAGTCTTTGGTTACCAACGTGTATACAAAATTAAGTACAACTCTGATGGTTCCATTAAAAAATATAAAGTAAGGCTCGTCGCAAAAAGATACACTCAAATTG